TGCTCACTGGTGTTTTGTAGGAATCTGTTGTAAGCTTACAGGATATAACCACATCTCCTAGATTGGTGTTGTCATGATTCAGACCTTTGCAGAAGCCAACACAAAAAGTGATTTTGGGTCTCAATTGGGTAACAGCATTGGTAGCAGCTGTCTGGGAGCCACCAGGAACTGAGGAGCCTTGGGAACACTTCACTAAAGCAACTTTCCATGGCTTATCCTGATCACCCATGTTTCCAAAGTACACATATCCAAGAGTTTGGGAATAACTTTTAAAAGCATCTCTTAGGTAATAATGACATGCCAAGAACTCACAATTCTCAACTGTCAATAACAGAATGTCTACTGGGAGATGGACATTGCTCCATTGCTTTGACGTTTTAGGAAGATCACTGAGCTTCTTCACCTCAATACTGAGAGATGGTGGATCACCATCGTCATCCCAACGGCTACCCCTGTTATTTTCAGGCGCTGGCATTGTCAGTAACAAACAGGACTGTAAGTCCCTACAAACAAAGTGCACACAAAGAAAATCATTCACATCCATGACCTACTTTTGACAAAACAAAATTTTGCAATCTGTCATTAACTCGCATCGATTCAGCCGAACGCGTTTCTAGTAGGGCCGTACATGTTTTTCTGGCCCTTTCACTTCGACGCGTACGACTGTCATTGGATACCTTTTTTCTTATGGTTTTCCAACGAAATGGCGCGCGCGGTGTCGTACAAAATACGCGTCGTATGATAAAAGTACTCAAAACTTAAATTAAGGGTATTTTTAACAGGTTGTATCGTTGCCATGGTAAGATGGCCACAGCGTGGTCACCAATGATTGGGCATCACTTGATAAGGAGCATTGCGACAGAGAAGTAATATATCAAACACGAGAGACAGTGTTTCATCGGGATAACCAACCACTAAGAAGAGAGTTGAAAATACGATGCGCAGCGGAGAATTTTTGGCGAAATTCGAGATGTTTCGACAGCTAATGGAGCACTGTCTCGAGTGTTTGATATATCTTCTCAATCGAAACAAAAACTAAAGAGTAAACAGAGAAGTACTCCACTCCCCACGTTTGCGACTTAAAGTAAAGTTACCTTAGCTTACCTTGAGTAAATTTGTCAAAATCTACGCTAATTAAGACCAGGTATCCAAACGCCCTTCGCGGTTGTGATTTTCTCTGTTTTAACTTGATGAATTATTAAGAAGTAATATATCAAACACTCGAGACCGTGTTTGACCACATTTCCAGCAAACACCTTGACTCCGTCAAAAATACTCCGTTGCGTGTCGTGTACTTTGAACTCTCTTCCCGGTGTTTGGAAATGGGGTCAAACGGTCTGTGGTGTTTCATATATTACATCTCAGTAGTATATGCTAAGTAACATAGCTTATATTCAACTGCACAGTGTTTTGCTTTAATTATTTCCTTTTTGTATTTTTTTTATGTTCTTATGTTCACTTTTTAATCATCTATACCTCACGAAATCAGCGATACCCCATGAGTACAGATACGTTGCATATTAAGTCCTGTGGCTTACATTTAGTCATGTGACAATAATCAGCATATGCCAACTGTCGAATTTTATCCAGGACTTTCTCAGATACAGAACAAATCTCCTAGCCTCCTATACACCTCATCGAATCGGATAAAAGTGTATTTTGAGTTTTACTATAGCCTGCAATTTTAAGCCCAAACTTTGGCAAAATTCAAAACAAAATGCAGCAAAGTATACTTTGGTCTTACATAATAAACCCTTTTAATTGGAAATTAGCTTACTGTGTAGCTAAATACACTGACACGGAAATAAAATTATTATTATTATTGTTGTTGTTGTTGTTGTTGTTATTATTATTATTATTAAAAAGTGTTTCATTATCAAGATAATGAAACAACTTAGAAAACCCACAGCATGTGTACAATGGCCAATTCCCTCTATGGGACGTGCCTGCAGGGAATCATGGTAGTTGTATTCATCATCTTAGTCTGGATATTTGTTTTGATGATTCAACTGCCRGGATTCCCTGCAGGCGGGTYTCATACAGGGATTTSACCATTACCCAGCCTTTCCTAAACACATGTTCTTTAGAGCATTCAATAACAAAATCTCGAAGCAGAATTTCTATTTTTCTTTACATCGCAAATATTGTAGTTAACTTTATCGAACTTAACGTCATTAAATTTTATGCACTAACGATGGGGGTCAAAATACCTGTTTCCCGTAGAGCTCAGCTTAAAGGAAATTTCATAGTGCACAAGAAATTATGAACAGTAAGGATGAGCAAAGCAATTCAGTGGAGTCACCTAACATCTAACGCCACTGGGAAAATTCCTGCGCACCTTGTGACAAATCTGTGACGTATACACGACTCGTGTAACCATTTTTCAAAAGGTTTCTCTCTGTTTTACTAGGTCTTTTGTGGGCTCAGTTGTCTTAAGAGTAGATGAAACAATCAAATGGATAAAGCACTACCCAATGGATAGCATAACTTAACTGTTTGATACCATTTGGCCACGCAGTTCAACATCAACATGTTTGATCACCGGCCAAACAATGTTTGATCGTGTTTGGTCGCCAAGCATTTCCCGTTTGGACAGGGCTCTAAAATGTTTGATCAAATGGTTATCGACCTTCGAATTTTGCCAAACACGTGCACAATCAAACGCCATCAAACAATGTCCAAACGGAAAAATTTTTGGTCAGTAAACAAGGTCTGATCGCCAAACGCTTGCCCACTGGATAGAAATTTATCCAGTGGAAATCGCTATCCACTCTTTGGACAACTCCCACAAGATTTCTTCGAATCATCTTTAACCTGCTTTATTTTGAATTGAGAGAACATACTACTCAAATATTATACAGAATTCATATTTCATCACGTTGCAAACAAAATATTATAGCGGCACAAATGTTTATGCATATGCAGATAAGCTTAATCCAAGTGTTTGTTGTCTGATTTCCGTTGATCTTGTTTCTGGAATTTTAACTGCTAAGTTGTCATCTACGATACGACTGAAAATAAAAGGTTTGCTACTTTGGGAATACAGAAAGGAATTGAATTTAAAATGGATATAAGACTTTGATCATCAAAACATATCTTGTCTCGCGAAACTTCTGAATTCACTGATGCGGAAAAGATCGGTAGAAACAGGAACTTCAACTCATCAGCTTATCGCAGCTAAAGTTTTCACCAAACACGAGTGAATGCACACATTTACATCCTCGATAACACACTGATCAATATTCTCAGCTAGTTGGCTTATCGCCCAAAACGCCAATAAACTGACAAGGCTATATATAACATATACGTATTTATTTCACGACGAAGCTTGTTCAGAGGGCCAATAACTAAAATCGACCAATCAGATTGCTCCATTTCCGGTCCAATATTCCTCCAAGTATTGGACCGTGCAGTGTCGCAGTGTCGCGCACGATCGCTCGGGTCGATTTTCTGTTAATCTAATGGCTAACGTTTCTAAAAGAATGTGCTTTCAGTAAAAGATTCTTTTTATTTTTCTTCCAACCCTCTTTCTGCTCTGCTTTTTTAACATGAGATGTGAGTATACGCCTAGTCGCGATCCACTCCCAATGAGAGGTGCGATCTTGAAGTGCGATGTTAATTTTCAGTCAATGATCGTGGCTAACTAACCATGCATGGAAGGTATACGTTCTCCCACAACTTAGATATCAGTAGCGATCTAGGGGAGGAGCCCGGGGAGCCCGCCCTCCCCCCCCCCCCTTATTTTGGGTAAAACCAGGAGCCAAAATCGCAGAAGGAAGAAAAGCCGGCAGGGCAAGCAAACCTCCTTTCCCTCCCCTCAAGGTCTGGATCCGCCAGATAACTGCGGCCGTTTTTACTTTCATTGACATCTGGGTACGTTTGAAATTAATTCAAAAAAAAGTTTTAATGGGCCAAAAGAAAGGTTGGAGAACTAATCGGCTCCGATGTAGTGAAGTTTATCAATAAGAGTCTGTTTCTCGTTGCCCTTCAAGTTTCGATTCTTCTCTGCACCTTACACAACTGAAGCCATTACTATGACTATTGCTGCTAAATTACAACGTGCAACGCACAAGTTTACAAGCTAACTGAAGGTATTCATCAAAAACGATTCAGGTGGCTTAAAACAAGCTAAACTCGGAATCAAATATAACCACCACTTACCCAGCTGACCAGAAAAACAAGCCCGGACTAACCGAGTACTAGTTGCGTGTTAAAGGGAATCTTGGCTGAAAAGCACTTCTACTTCTAATGGTTCTCTTTAATTGATCCTGGGGTTTTAAGGTGATATCTCAGTAAGTGGTTCGAATACGAAGTCTTTGGTTTTCAGTTTAAAACCCCTGGACGTCGCCATGTTTACTTTATGGTGATTTATGACGTCATTGCGTGGTCAGAGATCTAAATATAGAGACTACAGAAGAAAACCCTCATAAAACAATGTATAATGTTTTAAAAAGAATGTTAAATGTCAAATTTTGAATGTTTATAGTTTAGCTATACCTACCCAGTTCTCAAGCATGTCACCTAAACTAAAAGAAACAAGTATTTCAAATAAACCTAAATAGGGCTAAAAATCCAAACTGGCGGGAGGCAGACCAGTTGGCTATTTACAAGCATGACCGAGGAGTTGAACTGGGGTCTACCGAGAAACAACTCCAGCTTAGTGGTCAGAGCGAGACTTGAACCCGCGACCTCCGGATTTCAAGTCCGGCGCTCTAACCACTCGGCCATACGTACCTTCTCCGAATGATGGCGTCGCAGCATACCATCATGATCTAAAGTTTTAATTCATGGGATCCAAAAAAGGGTTAATACTCACAGTAAATGATCTAACAACGAAACCAACAGCCTAACAGAAAACTGCAACTATGAGTAATACAAAATCTTTGAACACCGAGGAGAGAGTTGAAAATACGATGCACACCGAATGCAAATATGGCGGACCACTCG